TGAATATGAATTAGCTATGTGTTACACATCAAATACAATGAGAGTAACAGATAAAGCGATGCTCTACTACTTATTATTTTTCATATTAATATAAATAAAGAGGTTGGTAGGAAATGATAGGTAATTTGCAGTAATGTAATATAGATCTGAAAAGGGAGGGTGCATTGTTACAACAGATTTGTTTTGTGTATATGCATCCAGGGATACACAGAAAATAAGAAAAAAACAACAGACAACAGGCACACAGAAACAGAAATAATGCTGTTATACAAAGAAGGGAACTATGACGCGTCTGTAACTCGATAGAGAACAGAAGAAAGAAGGGGATTCACGCAGAAAATGAACTGATGCTTGATGAAACAAGAGAGGATTATTTCCCGCTGAGGCCGTTCTTTTATGATGTTCTCATGTCCCCGTTATCTCTGTCTTACGGCTTCAATAGAGCTTTTTTCCGTTTCCAGCAACAAAATTCAAGTTTTAGAGGAAAAAGGGAAGGAAATTTACTGACAAGTTTGTCTGTATTTTTGGCTAAACGCCCTAATTAAACCTTAAAAGATTTGAAAAAAAGAAAAGAAAAAAAGCATAATTCAACAGCTAACATCCTCCAAGATCAGAACACAAAAAGGAGAGAACGGCGCATGAAGATTATAACGCAGACAGGTAAACACCATCGTTAGAATAAAATTAAATTCATGGCTCAAAACCTCATTAACATAATAAACTTTCCAACTTAGACCATTCACCGTCTCAATCACTTTTACTAAATAATGTTGAACAATTATTGGGAGTTTAAGGAAATTCGATCAGAACATTTAGCAAGAGGGAGCTGGAAAATCCTCCAAAGGAGAAGGAAAGTTATCCAAAAAGAATAAAGGTGTGACATTATCTAAAATAAATGTTCCTAATTATAATTTTAGAAGAGAATAAAGGAATTTAAGACCTTTTTCATTTTAAAACTTTTCACTTTTGATGCATATTTTATCAGTTCAAAGTCTATAATAAGGACATATCTCAAGATAAAAAAATCTAATCTGAAAATATAGCACAAGATTTTGCTTTGTGAGGCTTTAAATACCTGAACTGCGAAAAATAAAACAAAATTTAAAAAATATATCAAAACAAAAATGAGTGGATTGATCATAGAAAACAAGCTATCTGGATTATGAAGTTTAGGATAAAATAAACATGATCGGGAGGACAATGGTAATCCAGATGAACAAAAACAACTCCAATTCCAAACAAGGTGGCAAAGGAAAGCTTGAAGTATTTTTAGTGTTAACTAATGTCATCAAACCGGCACCTTTAGTCGGTTTCTAATCTGATCAACTTAAACACAGTTGAGTTGCCTTCTCTGTCTCTTATACAGTGAAAGTCATTGTTAAGTCCTTCCCAAAATACAAGTACACGTCTAAAGTCAGGCTAAAAACATGTTAACTCAGTAAGGCTAGCACATGATTTGATTTAAAATCAAATCAAGTAATCAAGCCTATTAGCCGTCACCCTGCTTAGAGAAAATAACTCTGCAGATCCACAACAAATTAACCTACGATATATATATATATTTATATCTCTGTATCAAGCATTTAGTGGATTCTGAGCTATAACAATTTGTAGGATCTCCACTTCTGGGGAGATGCAAAAACACAAAAATCCAGCAAAACCCTCTGAAATTATGTACTTGAAGTTCTCTTGAAACGTTGTTTAGCCATCATTCTTTTTCAGTAGTACCCTTAAAATTTGCCTATTCTGTCTAGCAAAATTCTCCAAATCTATCAGATTATGGGGTCTAAAACTTTCATTCTTCTGGCAACCTGTTTCTATTGCTGGTTTGTATCAGTGCTTGGACTTGCTGTGTTGGTAACAGAAGGCACTTCTCAGCGTTCAAACCTGAATATTTTGAATCAGAATGTGTTTATCATCTGCCTAGCTATATCTGAAGTGCAGTGACCTCAGAACCCAACAGCTGGGGATCTTTTTGAGATGTGCAGGGATGTTCTTGCTCAACAATTTAGTTTTGGGATACTGCCAGATGGTTTAGAGACTGTTTTATGATGGCCTGTTTGTTTTGAGCATATATAGAGTTACTGCAGTACCTTCAGTGTTCCCTTCGTCTGCTGGCAACCTTCCTACCTGTCACCGTATCCTTCTTTATCCTGCAATTAAAGATAACTGTGTTCACCTTGGTACGATATATAAAAAAAACAAACAATGGAGATCTTTTTGTCCCAATGCTGCCTGCTGTTACCTTCGTACAATAACATCTATATATCATCAGTATCTTTCCTTTGGATTAATTATTTTATGTCAGCTTTATCATTTCCTACAATTTTTTTCCCTCTGAGATTTGTTTATCCATTAAATTGTACTGGGTATGAGCCAGAATAATGGTGGGAAGTGGGCTGAAATTATTCATCATGGTTCAATTTCTAATGTTGCAAAAAACTGGCTTTTAAACAAGGATAAACAACCATCTAAGCTTATAAAAGCCATGAAAATGGGAATGGATTGTATACTTTCCTAGATTGGTTTGTGCTGATGTGCAGCTACAGGTTTCAGGTAAATGTATAACTAAAAAAAAAAAAAAAGATACAAGATGTATATAAACACAGTAGAAGAGTGAAGAGGGTTAAAGGGGAAGAATTTACACAAGCGGCTATAGAGTCTCTTAAAGCTGCTCTCCCACATTCCCACCTTCTTTTTAAGGTTTTGGTTTGTTTAACAGCGCTGCTGTTAGTTTCTGGATCAGACTACTGAAAAGCAAAACTGATGTGTACTATAAACTTTAAAAGAATTCAAAGTGAAAAAGGTGTTCTTAGGTTCTCTCTACAGAAACTCTTAAAACAAAATGGCAAGCTTAGGTGCTTAATCCATTATGAAACTAGATGAAGTTAAGAAAACTGAGAATTATTTGCCTTTTACTAAAATAAACAAAAGCTAAAGAAAGAGTTCACCCTGATACTACAAAAGGAAAACTAGAACAAAAAGAAAATTAAGTATTTAATGAAGACAAATTATTGTAGAAGTTCACTTAAGGCCAGGATAACAACAGCCTGGATATATAGCAAAGTATAGACTAACATGGAACAAACAAAATGAGCGGTTTACTGATGGAAGGTTTAAACCTGGAGAACAGAAGCTCAATGAAAAAGGTGGTTTGAGGAAATCCTTTCTGCTGCAAATGCACTACCATTCAAAAGTCGAGAGGGATAGTGAGTGAGCCTTAAAAATAAGATATTCCAGAAGTATTGGCTGAGGAAATTAGGTCTAAATAGGGACAGAAAAAAAGATTCAAATCACGCAAATCATTCAAACCAAATTGTTCTTAAAAGCCAAAAATACAAAGAGGTATATCATGTATAAAATGCATAAACAGTATGTGGTCAAATCCAGCAGGCCTTAATGATAGGCCAGTCAGGAGCCCTCGAAGAAGTTTCATTTGAAACCTATAACGTTTCTCCAATGTGAAACCAAAACATCCACAGATCTGAATCTTTATAAGGCTATCATTCAATGTTAATATCTCAAAGGCATAAAACTATTTGCAAAAGATCCCGAAAGGTAGGTTTCATGATTAAGAGCCTTTTACTACGTTGACTCTGTGTAGCGGTTGCTTTATGGCTGCATTTTTTGCTGTGACAGCAGAAAAACTGTTTTTCCTCCAACATTAAACATTTACCCCTGAGGTCCAAATCACTGGTTACCCTGTCAGGTGAAACCCGGATAATACTTGAAGGAATTAACCTGCTTTACGTGAAGATTCCTGAGCAGCCAGCGGCAACTGACGACAAAAAGATGTGGTCCATAACTGAATTAGACTGAAACAAAGGCTCTTTGAAATTATAGGTGTTTGTGTTAGCAGAAAAAACAAGCTGGAAGAAAAGAATAGATTTATGACCACACCTCTGCTTAAAGCTGTGTCCCTTAGTCTCTTGTGCACTGCCCACTTTGATGGCATTTTTCAAAATGTGTCTGGGGGCGGGGTTAAGTTTTTACCAAAGATTTCATTAGACTTTAAGGATAAAAACCCATCTTTATCCCCAGACTAACAGATCTGCCATCTAGATATTCTAAGTATTCTCTGCAGTCCTTTTAAAACCTCCAAACAGCATTAAAAATTTACTTTAGGTCGATGTTAAAGCTAATCTTTTTACCAATATATTTAGGTCTTTTACAGCCATCAAAACATTCAATTAAAATCTTTCAGAGGAGTCTAATCATAACTAAAAAAAAAAAGGCAGGGAATTTGTGGTTGGAAACTATCCATATTCATTTAGAATACATTAGGAGGATTAACATGCACTGGGCAACAGAACCCTGAATCAATTCAGACAAGGTTGCAGGGAACTTGTTGTAATCCACCTCCACATAGTCAGGTGAAGATGCGCTTCTGTGAGGCACAAATGTTTTGAATTTGAATAAAGGCTTTACTTAAGATTTGGAGTGAAAAGAGGCAGAGAAATAGTGATGTGAGGTTCTTTAGCTAACTGATCTGGACTCTTTTACAAAAGAAAGACAAAGAGGATCACTCCCTGCACTCCTTCAGCTCCCCTCTCTCTTCTGTATCAACCTCAGTGCTGTGATTGAGGTAATGAATGTGTGTGTTTCAGTTCCTATTGATAGGACAGTGTATGAAGTGTCCAAGCTAGGGAAAGATGAGATCTGTTGCTCTCTCCACATTCCCACTCTCACACATATAGAGCAGCCCAGATGTAGCAGCGGTGTGTGTGTATGTGTGTGTATGTGTGTGTCTGTGTATGTGTGGGGTGGGTGGGGGGGGTCTGTGCTACAGAAAGTAGAAAAAAAGGTGAGCAGAGGTCAAACACAAAGCTAACAGGAGAGCTTCAAGCTGCATACTGATGGATTTATTACCCACACAATACAGCAGGCGATCCACAGAAATTCCTAACACTGGAGTCCAGCTTAATGCAGTTGCAAAGACAAACAGAGGGACACAGCTGTCAAACTGTTTGAGTTTACCACATGACAGGGACTATTCCTACCTCTTGAGTTGGTGGCCAGGTCGGCCACTTTCTGGAAAGCATCTAGGAAGACAGCCACAGCCACCGCAGTCGCCCTGAGATAGGAAAACAGATTTATTAAGCAAACATTATTTCCCAGGCAGCAGATTTGAGCTCATTATTTAAGCTCAAATCGCGTTTCTAACATTTAAAGATTCAGAATGGATTCTCATTTTCTTTAAAAACGATTTTTTTCTGTGGGTGTGGATGTGCCTTATCAGGCACCGTAGTGTTTGGCGAAACCAACCAGCAGCGTGAGCTATGCAAAGGCATGCAAGCGTTAGCCTAGCAGGCTACAGAGTGGTGTGTAGTGTTGTGTGAGCAACTGTGTTTGTTGCCGCTAAAGTATGGAGGACGAAGAAAAAGAAATTCAACCACCTCTGCGGTCTTTAAAAGCAACCATTTGGAAACACTTTGGATTTTAACTTCAACCCGGCCTGGGTAAGAAAGGGCTTGACATGACTCATGCGATTTGCAGAGATTGCAACTGTAAAGTTAAGTATTTCGGGAGTACTTCAAATCCCCGTTCTCAATTCGAAAGACATCACCCAGAGTTATTCTTAGAATTTACCTTTTGGTGTTTACATTATTGCAATAGGTAAATAAAACATTTACAATTAGAAATTCTTTATAAATGTACTCTTCTTTCATGCCAGCAGACTGGAATAGATCCTGAGAATCATTTTGAATCGTAAATTAATCGTTTCTGAATCGAATCGTTTGGATTTAAAAGAATCTGAAAAAAAAAAACGAATTATGTACCCAAGAATCGATTCTAAATCTAATCGTGGGAATCCCAAAGATTCACAGCCCTAGTATTGCCTATAAACTGACTTGGACTGGATCTTTTTGTAAAGAATCCAACTATCAGATTGGACTGTTGTGCATGGCCTAAACATGACAGAGATTTGGTCCAAATTTTATTCACATAATATGTCCTGACGACTCTTAAGACTTTCATTTGGGTTTTGTTTCTAGCCATTCAGGGGCAGCCTCCGAAGTCACAAACTGATAACCAGGGAAGCTCTGAAGATTTTCTGTTAAAAGGCAGAATTCATGGTTCCACCTATAAGGATGAGCAGTTGTAATGCATGAAACCAAAGAGTCAAAGATGTCCCAGACCACTGTGCTGCAAACAAAGTGTTTAATAACAGGAATACATTGTATTTAAAGTGTCTTTCAGGACACCCAAGGACATTGTAGAAAAACAAAAAAACAAAAACACAACATCATACAATATACATTATAATAAAAAAGTGAAGGCACTCAGTAGAGGTATGCAGACTTGAAAAGATGAGTTTTTAGCTTTGAAATAAACAGAGATAAAGTGTCAATATCACACATATCAGGTTTAGGGGCATAGCGGGAGAAATCTTTTCTCCCTCTGATGACGAGATGGGTAAGAGGCTCAGCAAGGTGGATGGAAGAGGAAGATCTAAGGGTATGGGAGGAGGTAGCAATCTGAAGAAGATCTGAGAGGTATGGGGAGCAGGCTAGAAGACCTTGAAAGCAAATAGGAGGATCTTGAACTGGATTCTGAAGCTGATAGGAAGCCAGTGAAGCTCCTTTAGGACTGGGGTGATGTGATGGAATGAGGGGGTTTTGGTAATTGAATGAGCCGCTGAACTTTGGACCAACTGAAGCTTATGAAAAGATTATTGAGGAAGAGAGTTGCAGTAAACGATGCGGGAGGTGACAAGGCTAAGGACCCGAACAGACTTGTTGAAGTGAATGTTTCGTTGGTGAAAATAGGCACAACGGGTAATGTGAAGTATCTGGGAGGTGAACGACAGAATGATATCAAGGATGACGCTCAGACTGTTGACCTGAAGAGAGGGAGAGACAGTGGAACTACCATTTGTAAGAGAGAAACTGTCTATCTTGGATTAAACCTATTTAGTTCCTACCAGGAGGATCTCGGTTTGGTTGCAATTGAGCTTCAGGAAGTTAGCGGTGAACTAGGCTTTGATTTCAACAAGGCAGGACGTGAGGAATGCGGGAAAGCATTTGGAGTTAAGCTTACTAGATAAACAGAGCTGGATTTCATCCGCATAACAATGGAAATGGATACAGAATTTCTGAGAGATATTACCAAGTAGTAGAATATAGATGATAAAAAGTAGGTGCCTTAGGACAGAGCCCTGAGGCACCCCGGATGTGACAGAGGATGGATCTAAGTAGAAGGAATTAATTTGGACGGACTAAGTATGGCCAGAGAGGTAGGAACAGAACCAGTGGAGGGGTCTGTGAGTGACTCCAATTGAAGACAGTCTATTGAGAATAATGGAGTGAAAAACTGTACAGAAAGCTGCACTTAGTTCCAGTAGGATAAGAATAGAAATGAGACCAGAGTTGGCTGCCATTAGGAGGTCATTTGTGATTTTTAGGAGGGTAGTTTTAGTACTCTGGCCAGGGCGGAAACCGGACTGGAATTGTTCATATAGGTTATTATACGTTGGATGGGAGGGAATTTGTGATGCAATTGCTTTTTCTTGCATTTAAGAAATTAAAGGCAAGTTGGAAAAGGGCTGGAGGCTATTGTATTGGTTCTGATCAAACCCAGTTATTTTTAGTGTAGGAGTGATTACTGCGGTTTTAAAGAAGGAGGGAAGTATTCCAGAGGTAAGAGAGGAGTTAATAATGACAGTTATGGTGAGGAGCGAAGCCTGGAGGCAGGATTTGACCAGAGTTATTGGGATTGGGTCAAGCAGGCAGGTGAAGGACTTAGAGTTACAAATTAAGTCGGAGATATTTGGGAGCTGAACTCTAGAAAATTAATGACAGATATTAATTTCTGAAGAAGATATATGTATGTATATATGATTGTTAATTCCATTGATTTTCTTATAAAAAAAATTGGCATTTTAGCATTAAAGGGGTTTGTCTGTCTGCTAATTTTGTGTCTCTTAGGTTTCAAATTCATAGCCGTTTTCATGACATATGTTTGGATTTCTGCCAACAGCAGGAATTAGTGTAAACATATATATGTATATGCATTTGATATCTCTGTAATGATTCAACTGTAAACATCAAGACTGATATTTTCACAGCTGAACAATATACACTGCGTTACACATTTTTAATGACAGATTGAATGTGCCCTGCTGAGTGAAGAATGTCTCTGTAATTACGCCGAGTTTGCCTCACTTCCAGGTCAATGGAGAAACCAGTGTGGGATCAAACCTGTTGTGTTCCAGGATTGAAAAAGTCATGTCCACACAACCAACTTTCAATCATCTCACTAATATTTATCCAGAAAAAATAATACTGAAAATCAAGGGGGCTGAAGAAAGACCCATGTCTGGTTATTCAAATGAATCAGTGATCAACTGTTTCAGGATTATTTCTTTGTCTTTACAATTACCTGAAGGTGTTTTTAGAAGGCTAGTTGGCTACTAGCTGCATTCTTTGCAATAAAGGATTATGACCACAGCAGGTATGAAGAGGAAAGAAGCTTAATGTGCACAAGTGTGCGTATGTGACCTATAATCACAGACCTACAGAGATCCGGCCACTTGTACGTGATGCATACCACGTAAAGTAACGCAACTGTCTTTTGAATCTTTGCTGAGTTTGTTTACAAACACAGTTCAAATGGGTAATTTGCAAACACTTGATATTCCATGTGCCAACTGTAAAACCTCCATAAACAAGTTGGGATTTTCCATCAACATTACATTCAGATTTCTGCGTTCAATTGGAGAACCTTCCCCAGATTGTCACAGGGAGGCTAGAAAGTGGATAAGCTCCAACAATCCTCCGTATTGGTATGAATCAGCTTTAAATACCTTTCTCATTCAGAAAAGTAATTCTGAATCGGTTTACAAGCAGTGTTTTGTGGGAGAGCTGACCAGAAGATCCATGGGTGTGCCCTGCATATGGAAAAAGAAACATACGCACAAGCATACGCAGATGCCTTTCTATTTAAAGCCCGGTACGGGCGCCATAACAACCTCTGATATCTGCCTCCACTTATTTAATACATGAACTCAATGATCTGTGTATCATATTTTTAAGCTTGGAACCAAATTACATCCATCACTTATTAATTAATTGCCTAAAAATGGATCAGTGTGATAAGCACCACTGGCTGTAAAAGATTATGGTACAAAAACAAACTCGTATGTATTCAGTCCAGCTGTAATAGTACTTGTTACTCATTGATTGCAGTAATTAAAAAATGTATATCTCTACAAGCTTTTACACTTCAACAAATATCTGATTGTTTTTGTTTGCAACTAAACTAAAGCTCACTGAGGCCTAATGCTCTTCCCAAATTATCCTGTATTTAGCACCATTATACTTCCATCAAATCTGAGCAGATTCCCTTCTCCTGCACAAGAAAAAACCTTCCTACAACATGATGTTACCACCATGTGACAAGACCTAAAATACTGCTTAATATCCCATCTATGTCTGGTGTGTTTTTGGGACATCAGTTTCATTAATGTTTCATAACAAACCTGTGAAGCTTTCACAGAAAAGTTGTTCATATAGTAACTGTAATTTAAAAAACACAGATTGAATATTAGGCTTCTGCCAACAATTGGTTTATCTATAAAGTTTTAAGGGGTATTTGAGGAAAAAGGTAAAGGTATTGGTTAAGTACAGATAATTCATGAAATAAACCCCCTCCCAAAAATATCTTGACGTTTGTGGTTACTACGTGAAATAAATATGAAACAGCCTAAGGGGTGTGAATGTTTTTCTAAGCCACTGTATGCACTATAAGAGCTTAAGCTTTGAGCCGTACTCCAACAAGGATTTGACTGCTACCACTGGTTTTAAAATCTGCACACACCCATGCTATAAGTCAAGACAAACGACTTTAACAAATCTATTCCACAGGGCCTTGGCCGGGCCAATATGAAGTCCCAGTAGGGAACGCCACGGCACAGCAGAGTGCTCTTTACGACAATGATACATTCAGCTCTGCTGCTGCCATCTATTCTTAGAGAAGCTGAAACTACAATGTGACTCAAATGAAACTCATAGAAAGAGGTTGTGTTTGGTGAACCTTTTCAAAACATAGCATAAGTAGTTTAAAGCATTGTAAATGAAACATCATAAGAAACTTTAAATATCCCCTCATATTGTCAAAAATTTGTTACTTTAAGCACAGCTCTGATATGAATGCATCCACTGAAAAAGAAAAACTAACTGCGAACAAATTTACAGAGAAATTGCCTAATATCAGAGCATGTGTTTTTAAAGAAAATAAAACCCCACCAAACAGCTCCTACACTGTAATTGGCCGATATCCTGGCCGCTTTGTGAGGGTGAGCAGAGGGGCTAAATTACAGAGTAGACTGCCTTTAGCTGCATTACACCCAGCGACATGTGCTTGTACCACTGCTAGCTGGTAACATCTCCTGACCAAGATGAGAAGAAGGGGTGTGTTTGTGTTTTACTGTTAGATGACCAAAATAGAGCAAACAGATTACAGAGGTGCAAAACTCTAGAGTGTAAAGGCTCACTGGTCTAAAAATGGACAGAAAGGATTTGACACCGGTCGACCCAGAAAAACAAAGCTACGTCTTTATAGAGCCTAATATCACAACCGCTGCTCTGTTTGGGGGTGGGGTTCCTGTGCCTTACTTCACCTGGAAAAGCCTAGTCTAAATATACTACAGAGTATTGTAGTATATTTCACTGAATGAACTTCAGTGTAAAGCAGGAAGCCAACATTTCTGAAAGCACTCATTGAGCGGTTCTGGGAGAATGTACGGCGCTCTGAACTGCAATGGTTTGTAGTGCTTTTTAAAGAAGCATTTTTTTTTTTTGGTGTAGGGGTGCATTCCTAAAATAAATTACAATATTTTGTTTTTAGCATTTTAAGTTACGAAGTTAGGATTCTCTTGTTTTGGGGTTGAGCCACTTGCTGGTCAACAAGTATCAGCAGTGAGGAGTTGAGAGCTGCAATAGTTTACCCTTCAGCTCACTGGACATTGGATCCATAGAAAAAAAATTAAGTTCCATGTAGAACTACACTGCAAAAACGTTCTGAAAAGTAGTAAAACAAATTTAAAATAAGTGTATTTACCCTTAATTTGGGTGCCAAAATAAGATGATCTGCCAATGGAATGTTAATTTTTACCCTTAAAATAAGGTCATTAGAGATTATGCACTTGAAATAGACTGCAGTTGTTTTATCTTTTTTTTTTAATTTAAATTGTCTTATTCCAATGGCAAAGTGTCTCACCTGCTCAATTCAAGAAAAAATGCACTTAATTTAAGAGATATTTACTTAGATTTACATTTTTTGCAGTTTAATAGCGTTTCACATTTGTATACAGTCCCTGCATGAATTCTTTTGGAAAGTTTCAGGGCTGCAAAACACATGTGAACCCTTATGACACAACAAGCAGCCATAGTGACCAGACGAACGCAGCTAGCAACCAGCTAGGAGGGGATGTAAAGACGTTTGTTTGTTCAACACTCACCTGATGACCAAGGTTAGCATTTTAGTTTCAAGCATCGAGTCATTAGCAGCCAGCTAACAAATACCGAGACATTCTCAGAAAGAAGGGTCAGAAATGTAACCCATGAATGGAGGCGAGTCTTGAATAACATTTCAACAATAATCAACCAGAACCGAGAGGAAAACAGAAGCAGACTCAGCAGATTATTATTATGTCACTGAATCTTTAAAGAACCGTCAGTAAGAATCAGCATTAGGACACCTTAACCGGTGGGGAAATGCCATGTACAGTTAATCAAAGAATAATTTAGACCACAGGAAGCCTGTATTTGCCGTACTTGTTGGACAAAAATCTTTTATCCCGACTGTCACAAGTTGTTTGTCCTCTGACACGTGGCCACTTAAATCCAACTAGAAGAGCTGCTGTCTGCCATGACTTGGACCGATTATGGTAGATGGTGTATAAATGGACAAATATTGAAAGATTACTGAAGTAAAACAACTTCTATTTAAAGGGGGGGGATTAGAAATAATTACAACTAAAAATGTTGAGAAACAGATTAGATGTAATATTGTTATTATAAAGCTACACGGCTTTGGTAAAACATTTTTATCAAGTACAGATTCAGTTGCAAAATTGGGTTTACAGTTGAAAAAAAAAGTTTGTTCAATTGATGCGAATGTGATCCTTTGAACATTTAGTTTAACTTTAAATATTATTTCCCCAAAACAAAAAAAAACAAAAAATTGGTCATAGTACAAGCAGTATTCAGCTTCTGGCATTACTTCATTATCAGCTCATATCACTGTAGCATTGTGCCACAGCATGAGGATATATTGGTGGAAACGTTAAAATTACAAATTAAACCACTTCAAACCTTCCTACCGTTCATCCCAGCTTTTTCGAAAGGTAATAGATATCATTTCTGTGTAAGTACTGTGTAATATTTTCTTTTTAATTTTACAGATCAAAAACGCCTCCAGAAATCTCAACATTATGCTTCTACTATTGTGACAACTTTAAAAGAACAATGCAGGCCAAAATGATCCACTGACTAAAATAATAAAAGAGGAAACTGCATAATTAAACTTGAAATAGAAGACCAATGAAGAAAAAAAATGATGCTTAAATTTAAAATGTGTTTCGTTTTTTATTTTTTTTTTGTTATAGACTGGAACAAACAGAAAAACACCACATGTGCACATAGTCACGCACTCACCTGAGCTGCGACTGCAGTTTTCCAGCTTTGGTGATAAAATCTTCCCAGATAGGGCAGCTGCTCTGTGGGAGCAAGAGATAAAAAAATAAAAAAAACAGCATGATGCAATTTCACCATCAGAAATTTTTTTTTTCTTCTCACGATTATGAACCCAGCAGCTCAAAACCTACAGCCCAATCCTGCTGCCTGAACTCACCTGAACAGGAGTGAGATTGCTTATAAATGCAGCCCTGTTAAGTCACTTATCACGGTATGTTTTACTTGCAATTATACCTGATTGTTTCATGATTTCAAAATGTTAATTGTTCACAAAAACAGACTAAAATCTAATATTATACTACCTCAAATTGTTTCCCAAAAACTATGCTTTATTTAGTTCAATTAAAGTCAGATTTACTCAAGATTTAATGGTGAATAAAGATTACCATCATGTCCTCCTTGCGTGTTAGGCTGCAAAATGGGTCATAGGCCTCCTTTGGAGAGAATCCAACACAATGAGTGCACTAATGCTATGGTATAATGAGTCTGGTTCCAGATGGGACACTGATCTTTTTTCTCCCCCCCAAAAAAATTTCTGAGCTAATAGTAGTCGAAGAGCTTTGCACTAAAACAGCTGCAGAAAGCAAAGCCAAAGGAATGAGACAGAGCACACTAACAGAACTGTAAAAAAGGAGGGAAAGATGCCTAAAGAATATGTGCATTTTTGTCACTGTTGTGGCACTAGTGTCAGGAGCTTGAGGAATGTCATGTTGTACTGTCGAACATAACACCCAACAATTAAGTTGAAATCCCCAAATTTCTTTATGTGTTACATCACCACCACAGCTTCTGGTCTGTTTCTCACTCTGTGGGACTCTAGATCCTTCACTTTACTCATTTCAAGCATCCTTTTAATATATTCCCTTATTAGCTTCACCTTTGGCTTCCTACACTCCTCCATTTGTTGACAGCCTCCCTCTAAGAACTGCTCTGGCCACCAACTATAATGTCACCCCACTTAAGAGGCAGCTTTATGTTCTGGAGTTTGGACGTTAGATTTATGCTATAAAAATAGCAATAAATGGTTGTGTTTTCAGCCTTAAATGTTTATCTTCCTTCTTGTTCTTTATTTCTTTCTTTGTGCTGGCTTGTATGAATTTAAATTTACAACCCTTATTCGCATATTTACCTGAGCTACTAGGAGTTACCACTGAACTATGTTCCCTGGAGGCACTGAGGATCTAGCAACCATTAGAAATGCAGTTAGAGAGACTTGACAGGTTAAGTCATATACACTATATTGCCAAAAGTATTTGCTCACCTGCCTTGACTCACATATGAGCTTAAGTGACATCCCGTTCCTAATCCATAGGGTTCAATATGACGTCGGTCCACCCTTTGCAGCTAGAACAGCTTCAACTCTTCTGGGAAGGCTGTCCACAAGGTTTAGGAGTGTGTTTATGGGAATTTTTGACCATTCTTCCAGAAGCGCATTTGTGAGGTCGCACACTGATGTTGGACGAGAAGGCCTGGCTCTCAGTCTCCGCTCTAATTCATCCCAAAGGTGTTCTATCGGGTTGAGGTCAGGACTCTGTGCAGGCCAGTCAAGTTCATCCACACCAGACTCTGTCATCCATGTCTTTATGGACCTTGCTTTGTGCACTGGTGCACAGTCATGTTGGAAGAGGAAGGGGCCAGCTCCAAACTGTTCCCACAAAGTTGGGAGCATGGAATTGTCCAAAATGTCTTGGTATGCTGAAGCATTCAGAGTTCCTTTCCTTGGAACTAAGGGGCCAAGCCCAGCTCCTGAAAAACAACCCCACACCATAATCCCCCCTTCACCAAACTTTACACTTGGCACAATGCAGTCAGACAAGTACCGTTCTCCTGGCAACCGCCAAACCCAGACCCGTCCATCAGATTGCCAGATGGAGAAGCGCGATTCGTCACTCCAGAGAACGCGTCTCCACTGCTCTAGAGTCCAGTGGCGGCATGCTTTACAACACCGCATCCGACGCTTTGCATTGCACTTGGTGATGTATGGCTTGGATGCAGCTGCTCTACCATGGAAACCCATTCCATGAAGCTCTCTGCGCACTGTTCTTGAGCTAATCTGAAGGCCACATGAAGTTTGGAGGTCTGTAGTGATTGACTCTGCAGAAAGTTGGCGACCTCTTCGCACTATGCGCTTCAGCATCCGCTGACCCCGCTCCGTCAGTTTACGTGGCCTACCACTTCGTGGCTGAGTTGCTGTCGTTCCCAAACACTTCCATTTTCTTATAATACAGCTGACAGTTGACTGTGGAATATTTAGGAGCGAGGAAATTTCACGACTGGATTTGTTGCACAGGTGGCATCCTATCACAGTTCCACGCTGGAATTCCCTGAGCTCCTGAGAGCGACCCATTCTTTCACAAATGTTTGTAAAAACAGTCTGCATGCCTAGGTGCTTGAATTTATACACCTGTGGCCATGGAAGTGATTGGAACACCTGATTCCAATAATTTGGATGGGTGAGCAAATACTTTTGGCAATATAGTGTATCTTGTGACTTTATAAAATAGTATGGTGCATGGGTTTTTTCTTCAACGCGGTCTTGAAAAGTAAAGTAACCAAACCATTTTCCTACTGTACCTCTGTTTGCCATAATAGTCTCAAAAAGGCTTTCTTCTAGGATTGACTCTATTCAGCTCCATCAAACTCCTTTTCAGGTTAGACACACTTTCCAGGAGGAAAAAAAAATCTCCCCGGCATGACACTGCCACCACTATGTTACATTGCTGAGATTCTCTGATTCTCATTCATTTCAATCGAACAGCAAATCGGTATAACAGGCACAAAGTTTCACGTATAGTCACGTCCGACCATTATGAGGTCACTTCTTCAGTCTGTCTTTTCATATTCACATGATGGATTAAACAGTGCTCAAAGCGTAGATACTGTTATTCTTTTTTTCATTTTAATTTTTAACTGTTTTTCCATCACAATGTGTTTTGTTTTTTTATCACTGCTGCTAACCTTATCAAGGCTGAACTTTAAAAAAATCTATTTTTGCTTACTCTTTTTTTTTACATTTCTGTATACAAAATGACAAAATAAAATCTAAGTCTGTTTTATTAGCTGATGACATATGCAATGTGAACCCTGGCCTTTATAATGCTGTTAGTTGACTTGCTCAAACAAACCTCAGAGTTTGAAATATGTTTTTATACTGAAATTAAATGAAACACAGCAAGATTCGATTTACTAATTAGTTGACTTGAAAAGTCACTTGGTTCTACACAAATAGATGCCTATTTTTTTTTTCAAATGCAGAACTTCATTTCAGTTCATCACATGAATCCCATAAAATTGCACAAAAAATGAAAAAGTTCAGAGTGCACAAACATTTTTCTAGCCAAGTAAATATAAGATACAACATGTGTATTTTTTGCTTCCTGAGTACAATCCTATATCAGCTGTACCATAACATAAATGATGGGAAAAAAATGAGTCTGGCAGCATGCTACAAGTCAGTTGTAGTAAGTAACAGAGAGGGAAATGGGCATGCAGAGGTGCTGAAGACCTCAGTCCAAATTCATAAAAATAAAACTCCTTCACTCCAGCATACCTATTGGCTGATTTGTCAGTCTCTCTATCTCCTGGGTCATTTTCTACCCTGATAGCTAAATTCCAGCATGCCTTCAGACACATATAGCAGCTGGGGGGTTGAGGAAATGATGTGTAGTGCTTTTACAGAAATTAAATGCCCTAATTCTGACTGTCCAGAGTGGAAGGAAATGATGGAGCCACATTTATTTCAGCCTGGATCAAAAAAGGAGCACAGTCTGCTACAATAGAAAGTTTTGATTTGGTATAGATCTAAAAAAGCTCCAACCCCCCCAAACATGTGTGTCTATTTTAGTTGAGTTTATACCACTAAATATTTAGTTAAGAGGTTTTCAGCTACTTAAAGTTTTTTTTTTTTTTTACTTACTTTCATGTCTCCAATGACTGTCTGGAAGAGTCCTCCAAGAGCGCTACATTCCTTCTCGATAACAGCCTCCATTTTTCAGGACCAGCTCCAGTGGTCAGTCCTGACTTCTCCAAACGCCTCCGCTGTCCAAGGGAGCCAAAACTTCCCCACCTCCCCCCAAAAAAAGTGTAAATAACAAAACTCGAACGAGCAATTAAAATAGTCGGCTGCAAGAAAACTGAGAAATACGCTCTTTTATAGCAGTCAGGTGTGTTAAAAACACCGTCCAGTCCTGCTATGGGGCAGCGCTTAAAATCAAAAGAAGCCTTTGGGAAGAAAAAAGAGATTTAAAGACCAGCTTTCCCTCCACGACGCCTCGTTTATATCCATGGCTGGACCGGGAATATAGTGAGAATCAAGCTAATCCAAAAATATGGTAGTGATACTCGGTATCCCAACAGGTAAGCAAGTACCTACCCTCTTCACTCTCTCTACGCTCCAAAAACTGAACGAGAGGACAACATTAAGAAAGATTTAAGCTAGCTTCGTTAATGTCAAGCTACATCCGAATGGTGATCGTAAAAATAAAAGCTCACTAAATATGTTACTAGGTTTCCTAAGTTCCTGCTTTACAACGATTCAGATATCAAAATAAATGCTTAGAAGTAAGTTTTTAATCAATCATAAATATAAACGCAATTTGCTTGTTTTATTGAAGTTCTTCGGATGTCTACGTCTTATTGTGAAAGTCTACGAATGTGCGTCCGGTTTGTCACCTGTGAATGGAATAATCATTCGCATACATCCAGTAGGCAAAATCCGAAGAAAACGCTTTAAATGCGTAAACAAACTAGTTTACGTTACTTCATTTAATTCAATAACATTAAAAATGTTTGTTGAAGAAAAGTTGTTAAAAACGGATAGAAACTTGAGTTAATAACTTGAAAGCTCCTCTGTAGATAAATGAGGACACCTAGTGGCCTAAATAGTAACTGCAGTCTGATAAGATTTTTTTGCTTTTGGTTTGAGCACTGCAAATATGAAAACTACTAAACTTTTCTTACTTATTTTAGAAATCTTTTGTATCTGTTCTTCAAGATCAAACCACACATCTAATATAGTCTCAGAACTCTAAATAACCTTGTTAAAATGAGATAATGAAAATATGAAGAAACATCTAAAAAAAAAAAAAAAAAAAACTTTTTTCTAACTTTAGGCAGTACCTAAGAAGAACAAAAATGCAAAAGCTATTATCTGACTGTAAAACTAACAATACCTGATGACGTTTTTGGTAGGATATTGAATAAATGTGCCATACTGAGATGTAAAAGTATTTGCAAACTCTACCATACAAAACATGTAAGTACTTTATTCCCAATTATCAAAACATTTTTTATAGTTTAACTTTTCTGGTAGTTTTTTCAGTCTGAAGCTCTGCAAGCACCATGTGCCACATTAAGCATACTAAACATGTGATTAGAATCCCCGGTGATCTACCATGATTTAAATATTGTATTGAAGTAGCATAATCTTGAATTAACAGCTAGTTCTTGAAAAATCTGTAATATTTTAATTTTTCAGTTAGTTAGAAAGTTTAAAAACATTTGACTCATGTGACTTTACCTTTTTGCAATATATGACACAGAAGCCCTTTTTTGAACTACTTGCAGCTTTGTTTAATTTTACATATGATGCTGAGAATTGAAATAAAATAATTAGAAAATATCCTTCAAATTTTTTTGATATTACTTTTGAAAGTGTACTCAAGATAAATTAAAAAAAGTCTGGATAAACTACAAGCTATAACAGTAACAGGTAATACAAGTTGCCTTATACTACCAATAGAAAATATCAGTCCAGGTCAGTCCTAAATAAAGCTCACGTCAGTGCTTTCTATCCTCCAAATAAATCGAAGAAAAGTTATGTAAATCCACAAAATGCACATATTTCATTGGCTAACATTTTTCACATGCATTTCTCAAGCTTGTGAGAAAAGAACACTTATTTCTGTTGGTAGCTCTATGTAATGACACATAAAATACACACTGTAATAAAACACACATCTGTTTATTTTAGTTCATGAATTCATTTCAGTTTTCAAAAGTAGCAGGAGTCAAGACAAACTTTCGAACTAAAAATCTATTAAATAATTTGTCTAATACAAACAAAAAGTGCACAATAAATGAGATCATACACTGTGACATTTAAAATCAGTTAGATTAACACAGTTAAATAATACAACAGTTCAATATAAAACACTAATAAAATGCTTTCCAAAACTTATGCAGATAAAAGATCCACCTAAATGAAGACGTTTGAAAATTTATGAAATTTTCTATCTTCTGTTTAATTGATGACAGGATTATATGATTACATTTAAAGTGAAATCAACAGATCCAAAGATCAACTAAAGCAAGGACTTCAATCATAACATTCAGTGCATGCCAAATTTGAATTTAATGTGTCTGTTATAATACTGGAAAAGCTGTTATTCCCATATTAGATGAGAATATCTGACAGTCCTTAAAGCAACATATAGTAGTATCAGATACATTTAAACATCAAGAAACGCAGCTAAGACCAAGTTTTTCAAAGCAATAGATCGTTGTTTTTTTTTTATTAGTAAGGAGTAAAATATGCATTTCATTTTGCAAAATTAGTCAAAAGTCTAAAAATAATAGCTTTACAGTATAAAGCCATCTCTGGTCTCTTTCTAATTTCCAGTGGGTTCCCGCTGAGGAACATTTGACTGAACTTAACAAAAACGGATCCATTTGGTGTATAGGAGACATTTTTAAATAACAAAAAAGTATGATTGCTGTGTGGGGTTTGCTATGTGACAAAAGCATCACGTTGGAGTAATAACAGTGTGTACTTCACCGGAAGAATAACATTGATTTGTATAAGACAGTCATGCTGTTGTTAGGATGTTACTTTATGTTCGTCGTCCTGGTTACTTCATCCATCTCCTGAATCCCATAACCATACTGCAACCATAGCAGAGAGTCACAAAAAATGCAAATATCTGGAAAAAAAAGGGAAAAATAAAGTAAGCCCACAAAAGCATATAAAACCCCCCCCGATATTTTATAGAATATACAGTGATGTTTCAGAATATATGTAAACATCATATATACAAAAAGGCAGCTTTTAAATGAAGGTCTTTATTATCAAGGGAAAAAAGGGGATTGCAGCGACTTATCCAAGAGGTCAAAACTAAACAACATCCAAAGAGCTGCAGGTCTCTCGCCACAGTTAGGGTCAGAGTTCATGCCTCCACCATTAGGATGAGACTGGACAAGGCAGAGTTCCAAGACCAAAACCATTGCTGAGCAACAACAACATTGAAGCTTGTCTGCATTTTCCAAAACACATGCTGATAATCTCCAAGACATTCGGGAAACTCAGTGGGCTGATGTGACAAAAGTAAAACTTTTAGGAAGGTGTGTTACACTTTACACCTGGTGTGAATGTCACACTGCATTCAGGAAAAAACATCATTATAGCAACCGTAAAATGCGTTGGGGGTAGTCTGATGGTGTGGGGTCCATCTGCTGCTTCAGGACCCAAGAGACTCGCTTTGTTAAAACATTAACTCTGCTGTCTGTAATTATTTAAAACCACACCGGCAAGTCTATCTCTGAACAACTTCAAGAAAAACAAATTAATTCTTAAACCTCAAAGTCATATCCTGAATACTATAGAGGTGAGATGCTGCGATATGACCTTAAAAAGGCATTTAATGCTGGAAGAAAATGACAAAAAAAAAAAATTCCAGTCAAGATGATTAATAGCTTTTCTGCAAACATTACTTAAAGAGCTGTAAAAGACTCATTATAGCTTCTCGCAAACACTTGACTGCATCAGTTGCTGGTAAGGGCTGCCCTACCAGTATTAGGTTTAGGGGGAAGTAAAGTCAATATATATATATATATATATATATATATATATATATATATATATATATATATATATATATATATGTGTGTTCTTTTTTTAACACAGCCATGTTGGTTTGACTTTTTTTCTCTTAAATATAAAAAAAAACTTTAACATTTTAAAAGCTGCATTTTATTATCTAAATTTGTTCCATGTTCTGAAATACTCAGGTGGGACAACCATGGAAAAGCAAAAAGAAATCAGAATTGGGGAAAACACATTGTCCCACCACTGTACCTAAATAACATTAGTAATAATGGTAACGCTTTCTTTTACAGTACATTAATAACATGTAATAACATGGTAATAACATAGCAAGTTACACTATATTACTAGGTAACAAGAATTTTACTTAGTGCTGTGCTTCAAATTTTAAGCGGAAAAGGTAAAGTCAGACATCTTAGATTTCAAACCGCTATTACCAGGTAACTCATATTCATTTATTACTTGCTATATAACAGAAAACCAAACCTAGAAGACAGCAAGCCATTTTTCTTAACTGAACTCTTATTTATCAGTACATCTTGAGCTCAGTTTTATATTTGTAGGTGGTGGGTGGTCAATAATAGAAAATGTTATGTGGTAACCTAATGGTAATTACAATTTTACATGGTCACATACATTTGTAATAATTACGTGCAGTTTATTATTTTGAAATCATATACCTTAATCTTGGGGTGAAAACCCAAAAGTTTTGCTTAATACCAAGTACTATAGTTGCTTCCTATGTTATTACCATGTTATTACTTGGTTATTGATGTACTGTAAAAAAAAAAAAAAAAAAAGCGTTACAGTAATAATATGAAATTCTCTGTTAAACTGATTCTGGCATGAAGAAAACTGACAATTTTGTTTCTCCTTACTCAGGATTAGTAACATTATCTAAACAAAACACAGGTCACACATTTAAAATGCAGTTTATAAAATACCAACAGGCCGTGTCTTTGTCCCCGTACCTGCAGAAGCGGAAATAATTTAGCAACAGGAGTGCATTTTGGCTGCACATGGTTACTTTTGTCATCAACACAGATCTTTTATTTTTTTTTGTTTCCCATAAAAATAAAACCTACCCAAAAAGAAACAGTTTTAACAAATTATAAATTTTGTGAAAATCTTTTTACATGATGCTATAAATCGTAGAAACACTAAACATTGCAAAACTGTCAACTTAGCAAGAATCTGCTTTTTTTCCCCTTCACTGTTTTAATGAAGCCTCATTTTAGTAGAAATCTGCTCCTTATTTAAACTGGAAAACCTCGGATGAAAATGTTAATTTCTTTATAACATATTCCTCCTAAAAACAACTGACCGTAGCTGTCACGTTAATGCTGTACTGTGTGTAAGTCATCACAGTGAAAATGTTGCCCCGGGGGTAGGTTATACACAGGACGGACTCGGTGCTGTTTGGTAGCGAGTTGACGTGAGCTCCTCCATTCGCTGCCGTCGTTGCCGCCTCCAACACAAACGCAGAAAAGTAGAAGAGCAAAGCTAAAAAGTGGTAAAACAAATCCTGAGGAGAAGAACAAAAGGATATTTGAAACAAATAGAACAAAATATTTAAGACATATATTTCAGACATAAAC